TTCAGTATTYACATTTACGTAAACGAATAATATGTTAAATTTACTATCAAAGCATTTAAGTACACGCATAATATTTTCTTTTTGTCATTAGGATTTCAATAATAGGTATTATATAGGTTACTATTATATCTTCCAAGTAACATAAAATTTACATCAATTTATATCACCTGTTAGAGAAACTAAGCTCGTTGTGAATAATAGCGATTMAAACTATACAGTTTTCTGAATTCTATAACACATTGTAGCATACTAGCATTTGTTTTAAATATAAAAAATAAATATATGGTCATAAATTCTCTTGCATCATCGTTCTAAGTAGGTATTGCATATGTTGTTATACGTAAGTACATATTATATTGTTAATATTTGAATACTCATTACGCATTACACTGGTACCATTCAATGAACGTGTTTAAATTTGAATAATTATGTACATGTATAATACATAGACATGAGTTAAATCTTAAAAGTTTGATACATTTTTAAAAATATAGAAATGAAGCCAATCCGAATACCTCCAAAAAGTTGTTATTATAATTACAGTTTATTAAAAGTGTAATTTAAATTGATTTAATCATGCAAATATAAAAATAAATACTCATAAATAAATCACAATTCACTATATTTTGCTATGCTTTTTTGAGAAAATCAATAAATAATAACAGACGTATATAAWTTCATGATTGATAATTCAATAATTGATATGTATAAAAAATGAATAAATAACTTACACATTTTTAAKTTTATAAATAATCAGTCATATAACATGATGTTTATATTTATATTATTTATATTTAATTATTTGTACGTTATTTTCATGTTTTTTGCGACTTCCTAGTAAACTTATGTTGGTCCGCTTTTATGCTTCGATTATTGTGTGACTTCTTGTGATAACTTTTTGTCACTGAATATTCGAGCTGACCTTACAAACATGTTGGAAAACAAAATACAAAAAATGTAACTGTCTGAAAACAAATGTGTATTTTAACCGACCGTATTAAAGTTTTCCAAGCACAGTTATTGTTTTAGTTAGATATAAATAACAACTAACGATGTACAACAGTATCGTAAGAGATTAACCTAAGCTAATCATTTAATTTTAAAAATGTGTTGATTTACTTTGCTTAGAAACTGAAAAAAAAAGAAAAAAAAGTTTAGTCCATTCTCAAATTTAAAGTAACAACAAAACAAGATTTTTATAATTCAATCGTCACTCCTGTAAATATGAATTCAGTCACCCTTATTCTCCATCTCCACAGGAATTTTTCCCTAATATCATCTCCCTTTATTCACATCAGTTTCGAGTATTTACGTATCATTCTCTATTCAATAAAACAAAGTACAGTTCTTCGATCTCTCTCTCAATTGATCTATCTTAATCTTTACTATTTTACTTTAAGCAATACTACTGATGATAAAATTTCGAATAAGTTGAACAAAAATATTTTTTCACTTAAATTGTAAATTAATAGTGTTATATTAAAAATTATAATTGTTTGTTGTATTTAAATTTAACAAATAACAGTCATATTCTTGTAAATATTAGATAGTGAGATTTTTGAAAAGCATGTCAATCTTAAAATATATATGTATAGGTAGTATAATATTAACTATCCAATATCATGTTTTATTTAAGCAAATATTTTTCTCATTCTATTAAATCTTTTTCGTTTTACTACTGTGTAGTATATAAAAAAAATTTTTTATTTGTATATAACTTAACACCCCTAAACAACTACAACTTATGCTGATCATTTTATCAATTTTTGTTAAAGTACTTGGTGAAGTAAATACGATAATCTGCATTAGTTATAAGATATTAGCCAAATGTTAACTTATATTTTTATTTTATATTTAAAAGGATTCACTACCTGACATAATAAAATAATAATAGGTACATTTTATTTATTTAATATATGTATATAATGAATGCACCCTATACCTAAACATACCTAGTCAAGTTGTATACATCTCAACACTTATGAAACATTATATTTTAATTTCAAATAGTCAAATAGGTAATTAAAGTAGGTTCGGTATTATTCAAATAAATCAGTGACATTGTTCACTGATTAATCTACAAATAGTTGATAGTATAATTTTTAAACATCAAATATCTAAGATTTTAGGACAAAACAAATTAATAAAGTAAATGATAACACACAAAAAAACAAAATTCTGTTAATTTATTACATTTTGGATGAAATTTTATTTGATAATACTTTTGGCTGAAATTCAAATTCAGTTGTTTTTGTTATGTGTTATTGAAATGATTAAATAAATTTAAAATTTAAATCAGACATATTATCTACAAATGTATGTGTGACGATCAGGGTGGGGTGACCATTTGCTAATTGTATTTGCATAAATTAGGATGTATACAAATATTGCGTGTGCGTGTGAAAGCCGACTTTGTCCCGTGGCCGTGGGCCCAAGTCCGTCGATCGACGACAATACCTGCCGGTGTGACGAACGCACACACGCTCCCCTCTCACATCTCCATGGTCTGGGCCACACCGATTAATTATGTATAATATAGAGATATCGGTTGATTAAGTTACGTCTCCACATGCTCTCGCTCTGTCTCCCTCCTCCTACTGTCTATGTCGCCCTTCGTCTGTTTCGTGCGCTTGTGGCCGACTAAGCCGACGGACGACAGTTTTTCTAGTATGCCCGAACATCACCATGTTGGAAGAGTAGTGCGTCGCGATCGCCGGAGTGCCATCGGCCGGCACATATATCATGTAGCATAGTGGTAACGTACCCAAATTTGTACATATTGTCTATTAGACACCGTGGCCGGTATTATATGGTAGATTATACCGTGTATCAAACGACTTATGGTCTTGAAATAATTCATTTTTTGTTTCCGGCCATTCCGGGTTGCATGTGAAAGTAATAAATAAATCTRGACGRCTAAATTTACAAACATAAGTCATGGAATCCTTATCTTTTTCATGCATGCAACGTGGGGAGCCAGTAAAAGAAGAGGGAAGAATTACTTGTTGCCCCACGTTATTAGCATTAATATTTGCATCATTGTTAACATCATCTCGGAGGTGAACATAATCATCCCCACGTAGTTATTTTTGATGGTTACGAATAAAGTTTAGCCTTTCAGAAATCCATTTTTGCAAATATATCTACATCGAATTAGCTGAATAATGTTTTGTAATAATGTTCGAATAGAGATTCGATCCGACTCTGACATAAACTATATTTGTAAAAATTTAGCATTATTTCCAATTTCGGGTAATAAACTACCTATTAAATGATGCATTTGACCCTGAATTTTAAAAGTGGGCATGAAGTTCCCTTCAGCTATTTCGTTTGCTCCAAACGATGTCATTTGAAACAGAGTATTATACCGTCTAGAATTATCAAGGAAATGTTTTGATAGAGGGTGAGAATTATCAATTAAACTTTTAATTAAGTGTGGAAGTTCCTCAAATTGGTGTAAAACAACTTTACCGTCAGCGCAGCAAAGTCCAAGGGTTTTATCWTTCCATTTTTTTGCATGGCACTTAGGACACAATATAGTCATTGTTCCTATTTGAAGCGCTTTAATATTTAAATAATCAATCTCGGATTGATAATTAAACGCTGATTTCATACTCAAAGTGTTGCGTTGCTCCTGTGCAAGTGTTTGAGAACGTACTGGTGTGATATCTTGTTGAATTCTGTTATACATTCAAGTTGCATTGGCAGTTCTTCTTCCAATGCGTGCTCTTGACGCTATCAGCATGATAAGTAAAAATAAGTATATTTTATCAAACTAAGCACAAACTATTTAACAAAAAGATTTATGTCACCAATAGTAACTATACGAGTATGTCATACAATAAGTTGACCATATGTTTCCATTTTATATAAGAACAACTCACCCTCTTTGGATCTGCAACCTATAGAACCATAACACCTAAAAATATTTAGTATAGTTTTTGGCCGAAAGAGGGCGCCACTACTGTGATTCTGTTTTTGATTTTTTATGAACTTTATACTTTTTTTTTATTGACAAAAGTGGTACTAAAAGCTCCAGCAGAGTGTCGGGTTTCAGCCAAATCGGTTTAGTAGTTTTCTCGTTTAGCGTGGTCTAAGAAAAACTCTTACAATTTTATATAATAGTATAGATTATATCTATATATATATATATATAATATATAAAATGAAGTCGCTTTTTTTTTGTTCGGGATAAACTCCGAAACTACTTATTGGATCGTCTTGTAATTTTTTTTAAATTAAAGAGCACATCACAGAGAATGTTTTGAGAAATTTGAGAAAGTTATCGGGTTAGAGGAATATGACGAGGTGGTGATGAAATGACAGTKTCGCTATCTGTCCAGCAAAAAATGAGCTAAATAATAATAATATTTTTTGGTAGTCAATGGCAACCATTTAAACAAACAAGACGTGCTCTCGAGAGCAGCCAAACTTATTTTTGGTATGGACATTTTTGTTCATTTATAAATGGTTGCTATAGCCGTCAGCCATTATTAGTTATGGCTATATATTTTTAAATATATAGATTATGATATATAAAATAAATAAAACTTGCTAATAACGCAAGTTTTCGTAACGCAAGCATATTTTAACCACTTATTTGAMATTTGGTCTATGGTAATAAGTCAGTTTTTTGTGGTAAAATGTTAACGTCTCTTTACTGTGCATCTATGTGCATCTAAAGCCACAAATTTCTATACAATTATAAAAGGGTTATGTGTTTGTGACTTACTAAATATTCCTCCTATAAGGTGACGAACAAACTTAGTCAGAAGAACCCGAAGTTCAAGGATACTAATTATTTAATTAATTACAATGGAGGGATTAATTACTTCTTATACGCTCCTGGTGGTACAGGAAAAACTTTTTTAATTACTTTAACATTGGTGAAAATTCGTTCAAAAAATGAAATTGCTCTAAATCTTGCTTCGTCAATCGTCAGGCATTACAGCAACTTTGTTTGAAGGCGGTCGATCAATAGACCCCATTCAGCTCTAAAAATGCCATTGAATATACAGAGAAACGAAAATCTAACTTGCAACATTTCCAAAAATTCGGCAATGGCAAAGATTTTGCAGCAATGTAAACTAATAGTGTGGGACGAATGTACAATGGCACATAAAAAATCTTTAGAGGCTTTAGACAAAACCTTAAAAAATCTACGGAACAACCAAAACAAATTTGGTGGCGCAATAATTTTATTACCAAGTGATTTTCACCAAACATTGCCAGGAGTTTCACATTCAACGCTAGCTGATGAACTGAATGCATGTTTAAAGTCCTCCAATTCTGGAAACATCTCGAGATATTACATTTAAGCAAGAATATGCGTGTCATGTAGCAAAATGATAAATCTAGAGACATATATTCTTTAAACAACTTATTGATGTTGGTAATGGCAATTTTCCTATATATGTGCTGACTGGCTGCATCATCTTTCCTAAGAGTTTTTATCAATTAACACAATCAAAAGCTGAACTCATTCAAAAGGTGTTTACAAATGTTGCTCAAAATTAATTATTCCATGATTTGTTGAGCGAATTAATAAATTAATAAATCACAAGCGTTAGTATGTTTAATGGGAAATTTATATGGAAAAAAAAATTTAAAAAAATGGATTTCTGTCTATTTATCCTTTATGCATTCCAATTCCAATTTATGGACCGATTGTGACAAAATTTGGTACATAATTTTATTAGAAATATGGGCAGAAGATAAGTTAAGTTAGTAAGTGATACCTATGCCTAAATATTATTCAATTTAATATTTAAATTGTTACAATTATATTGATAAAACGAAGAAAATTACATAATGATATAAGAAATTGAATATCGCTGTAAGTTTATAATATATTTTAACCACTATCTATCATTATAATATGTATAAAAATATTCTGCAAGCATCATCACATGAAATGAATTTAACACACAGTATGAACCATATAAGAGGTAGGATTTTTAACGGGCTACGAAGTTCACGGGTTCAGCTAGTATATTATATTTGAGCACGAGGTTATTACCACCGTCCACCGAACACTAAAAGGGTAATCTATAAATATAAAAAAACACATATCAAATAAATTTAATTTTTTACCCAAAAAATAAATTATTTTATAATTTATTTTAGTKCTTTAGTGTGATTCTAAAGTTTTAAACAGAGAGTACGTATATGAGTGATGCATATGAATATAGTATGATCAAAAAATATTTTTAAACTATTCAAAAGAAATAAAAATAGAGGGTAGTATGATAATGGTAGTAGATATGATGGTAATTTTATAGAGCAATAAATAGCTGTTTGTGCATTAAAATGTACCAAATTTTAGTATTTGCTATTTGCTAACTATATTTTGATGGTGAAAAAAGTTTTAGAGTAGGTAAAAATGTACAATACTCGGTCAGGTTGTATAAGGATTGAAGAAAACGTGTATAATATCCATTGTAGTAGAATAAAATAAGCAAATAGTAGAATAAAACATGGAATGAATCGGTGGTTTAATAAAGTAAATAAGAAATAAAAATAGGATAAGCGGGGAATGTATTTAAGTGTGATTTGAATTAGATGTGGTTAGTTATTGAGAGCGTTTGAGTTCACAGCGTTTTTTTACTTGAGACTTCTATGTTGATTTGGTTAGATTTTTCACTGCCCCGATGCTGTGTGGGCGTTGTGGTTTTATGCTCGTTCTCCCCACTACATCATGGCGCGGTCAAGTGGCCTACGTGACGCGCGTGTTAGTTACGTAATTGTATATTATATATACATTGTAGTCAGTKGCGTGGTGAACGATGTTTACCTAATGCAATTGCTTAGCCCTAGAACAAAAATTCAAAATTTGTATACAGAAAACTATACCTTTATGGAGGGGGGTCATAGTATAAATAATTTGCTTAGGGTTTGATATCTTATATAATTTTATAAATTTTTATAAATATTTTATATAATTCGCCACGCCACTGATTGTAGTATACATGYATATATTAATRTCTTGTATTTTCTTCGATGCTATTGTTGTTTTTATGATGTCTATTTCGTTTATACTAAAGGGGTGTAAATATTGTATTGCTTTGTCTGGTTATGGTTGTTTCTTTCTTCGAGTGTTGAATTTGAGTGAACTAAGTGTCTGTGCATAATATTTGAAGGCAGATGGGTTTGTTTTAAATTGTATATTTGATTATTTTGTAAATTGTGAATATATTTTATAGGTAATACACAAATTTGGGCGTGGTTTTTCAATGATTTTATATGTACGTATTTTTGCGTCATTTATGATGTAGATAATCTGGTCAGTCCGTAATTGTGCGATTGATATTTCGTTTTAAATTTGATTATCGTCTAATTATTTTCTTATAATCTAATTATTGTAGTATTTATTTTAATTTGGTTCGTTACGTTTGGTTTCACATTGTCTAAGTACGCCTACAATTGGAAATTTACATTATATATTTATTAGAATATAAAACTGTAATATTTATATATTACACCATGTATAATAAAAACAACAATAACAGTCAATAATCACGCTATAACACTTATTCGTTTATTATATGGCTTGGTTAAAGTATAATCTCGTCATYGTGCAACGTTAAATATTATATCATAATAGTGTTTTAATAGTACATAGCATGGTCCGTCATGGTAATATACACATCTATAAATTATAATACGTTCCATATAATTTTTTTTTTTTAGAAAAATATAATATACATAATACAATAATGTAGTATGYTAGTATCTACCATTGATGTAAGTTTTATATTTTTTTTATTAATGCGAAGAACCATCATATCATTATTGCCACCACTGCCACCGGCTCACATCGTCATCCGCACTGCAGATTTTTGTACACACATATTATTCGTTTGTACTTCTGCTCTGTTTATCTTCGAGACCACGTTGTTGTATTATATTTTATATGATGACTGTAGGTATAATCCGGAAATAATATCTACCTATTTATTATATATATATATATATATAATATCTAACAACGAAAGCGGTGTGTGTGTCTCAGAAAGATTATTTGATAATAAGTTGCAGTAAAACGATTGTACCGTAWCTGCATAGGTACGTCATTATTATACTGCATCATAATATAGGACTTATATTAGCGAAAACAGTAGAAGTCTTCTTCGCTGAAGTACTTAAAAGGGCGCACACTCACAAGCCGCAACAACACACACACACACCCACACATACGTACACCTATGAGCATTATGTGCACACAAACGCTCACAAAACTATCAAGTCTTGTGCGATAACTACAGCGCTATAATCGTGAACGGAATCTCYACRRACCATCGGTCTTTTTTCACGTGGTATCCAACAATATTCCAGTCACATACAATACATTACTCGGCGACGATGACAGCGTCAGCGGGTGACATGATTCTATTTCGATTTATTATTATTATTAATATATATATTTTTTTTTTCATATCGAAAGAGATTATTTTGCGTACGCTTCTACGCTGGATAAAAACTGTACATCATCGTATTTTACTATTACGAAAAGCTAATAGTACGAAGTTTATTCACGACATTGATCTTCCACTTACCTACCCAAAGCGGGGTAATACCAACGATTTTCGTTTTACGAGATTCAAAATAATATACATTGAATGTCCTTATTTTATTATCGAAACACGTAAACGTAAATACACCGTCGTTACAACTCAATCATGTTGAACATAATATTAAGACTCACAATTTTMTAACAATAATGTTTAAACTAAACCTAGGTATCTATATTTTTATATGTTGCATTGTTCYTGTAGAATTGACACGAAAAAAGGCTAAAGTGAAGTTTATTTCTTAATTTTTTATCCAACAAGACGAAAAATACSAGTTTTTTCATACTTTGAACTTCCATAGAATATTTTTTCAGTGACAACAATATCAATTGACTTCACACACATTCGTAAGTGAGAGAGCAGAGTACCAATGATGCAATATTAAGAATGAGAGAGTGGACTGAAAGCCGGGTTGAGAAGTATATTCTCGGGGTGTTCTAGGACATCTCGGGAGCGTTCAACAACGCCTGGTGGCCAGCAATATTGCATCACATGACCAGATTGGGCGCGACGAGGAGGATGTGTGAGCTGACCCGGAGTTATTTAGGGGGTCGATACGCCAGCATCACTGTGCCGGCGGGAAGGAATAAACGGAGGCTGTTCAAGGGTTGTCCTCAGGGCTCGCAGTTTGGTCCGGAACTTTGGAGATATTGATGGGCTCTCTACTGAGTTTTGATGGGTCGGAAGAAGAACTATCCATTGGTTACGCGGATGATGCGTTGCTGATGATATTCGGCCGGACTCGATCAGAGGTGATCCGAAGGACAGAGGAAAAACTAAAAAGTGCAGGGTCCTRGGCGAGCGGCATGAAGCTGAACTTCTCAGGCACAAAAATAAAAGTCATGTGTCTGAAAGGAAGGCTGACACCGCCCTATACAGTTAGGATGGACWGGCGGYGGTTAATAGAGGTAACTGAGATATTCATCTTGGAGTTACATTGGACGATAGGTGGATTTTAGAAACCAGATAAGGAAAGTAGCAGGGAAGGCGGCTCCAATGTTTCAKAGGATCAGGCGGATTGTAGCCTCTACCTGGTATCAAAGTGGCCAGACGACCCGCAAACTATACCTAGGTGTATTTGTGCCGAGAATGGTTTACGGGGCTGCTGTGTGGGRTGAAACCGTTATCGATCGGATGATGAAACGCCTACTTCTCGGGRCTCAGAGAGGCGCTCTTCTGTCAGTAACGGGGGCTTATCGTACTACCAGTGGGAGGCTAGTGAGAAGGGTAGACTCACATATAGCTATTTCCCATCAGTGAAAGAAAGGTTGAAGTGTAAGTGGTTGGTAGTGGATCACGAATCCTCCCAGTGCCTCACGGGACACGGGGGTTTCATGGCCTATATCCATCGCTTCTCTAAATCAGAGACCGACGAATCATGTGGAACTCTGGATACGGCAGAACATGTTGAATTCCACTGCGAAGCATTGACGGGCGCTAGAAGGGCACTAAGATACCTAGTGGAGAGAATTGGCCTACAGTAGCCGTGTGAGCTGCGGACGCTTGTGAATTCGCCTGAACTTTGGAAAGAGTTCAGATCGTTTATACRGGTGGCTGTGGTTTCTCGTGGACATGTTGTGGGYCAATAGGATGGTARCGTCTGGGACGYGGTGTGGTAGTAGCGAAAGGACGGTATTGTRAGAAACCGAATATAACGACCCGAGTGGTCGTGTAATCGRGGACTGGCGGCCGTCACTCGTACCTAAGATACGAGTAAGCATCTGGGATGCTGGGTGCTGAGTAGAAAA